TGTGTTCAACAAGAGACGTACACAGGTAAACTTGTACAGAGACGCACCGTCGTGGCTCATGAAAGTGTGTGTTTAATACTTGAGATCTATCACTGGTTTAATCAAAACATTTTTTTCAGTTTTCTACTTATTATATGACATTATAATAGAATATGGGCTCTAACAATAAATAAAGAGCACTTGACACATCATTACAGCACCTGTGTTCAACAAGAGACGTACACAGGTAAACTATTTGCTTAAAATATTTCACATAACATTCATTCTTCAGTCAGAAACAAGGACTATTTTAAACTTATCAGACAAACAAAAGCCACAAAAGCCAGATCTGGATTTGGAAAATTCACCACAGTTCAAAAGTTTGGGATCAATATGATTTTGAAATGTTTCTGAAAGAAGTCTCTTCTGCTCTCCACGGCTGCATATATTTGATCAAAAATACAGTACAAAACCGTAATATTGTTAAATATTGTTACAGTTTAAAATATCTGTTTTCTATGTGAATATGTGTTAAGCTGTACTGTATTTCTGTGATGCGCAGCTGTATTTTCAGCATCATTCCTCCAGTCTTCAGTGTCACATGATCTTCAGAAATCAGTATAATATGCTGATCTGCTGCTCGAGAAACATTTCTGATTATTATCAATGTTATCAATGTTATGAATATTATCGTGCTGCACAATATTTTTGTGGAAACTGATACATACATCTTACTGAACCTTAACATTTTTGAATGGTAGTGTACATTTACATTTATATATATATATATATATATATATATATAACAATAAAACATTTACATATTATTAACAATACACAATGCATATTCTGTGCTGTAACCTCAAGATTATCATCACTGTGTTATTAATCATATAAATATAAACGCAGCGGCTTCAGACCTGCAGTGCACCACCATGGGTCCGGCGTCCGGTGGGTTGCAGGACTTGACTCTGCGCAGGAAGGCCAGGAACGGTGTGGGATGCTCCGGAACGCCGTGATCCGGCCACGCCGTGAACTGGAACTGCCGCACCTCTCGCTTCTCGCTGGAGCCGCTCTGAACGCAAGAGTGAAACGCTCTTCAAATATTACAGCCTAACATCACATGCCCATTATTTACTCGACACGAGGGCGAGTTAATGTGGATTTTCCCTTCAAAGATGAGCTGATCACGTACCTTGTAAAGTGCAAACGTCCGGACGCAGTACGTGGCCAGCTCCACCGTGTCCAGCAGCGTGACCTGAATGAGTCCGTACGTCTCCGTCGCTCTGTTGGGCCAGTACTGGTCACACTTCACCTGAAACACACACAAACACACATCGTGCTCGGATAAAGCCGGAGAAGGAGCGGCGCTTTTCCCATTCCCTGCTGACAAGAGGATTTCTCAACACAGCAGCGAATGACAGACGCTATAATTACTATCTCCAGCGCTCTGTCGCCATCACATCACAGCCGGCCGTCATTACCATTATAGATGTGGGCTGCACTGTGAGCGGCGCACCGAACAAAAGAGATGCTAAACATGAAGCCTCCAGGTTACCAGAGGAAAACCGACGTGCATCTCACGTCTGTCTGAATGCAAACAAGAGCAGGATCTGAACGATCATATTCTGCGAACAACATTAGGATGCTGAATATCTCATTAAAATGCATCGAGTGGAGACGTTCCAGCGCCACATGACCAAAACTCTGTGTTACATGTGTGTCTCGAGTCCAACTTTACTGCAAGCGTCAGTCTATGGATTCATGCAAAGGACGATTCATGAATTAAAAAAGGCATGGATTTAAATTCTGCAACTCATAATGGCAGCTGAAGACGACATGATGTGCCGTGTCTTGCCTTAGAGAAGAAATGAGAAGGAATCTGAGAAACACACACACACACACACACACACACACACACAGCAATGATGCAATTGAGGAAAGGATGGGAATGAAATGTGGGTAAAATCTGTAAAAATTGAGGATGACATGGATTATAATATTAATTAGACCAATATTCAGTTTGACAAAAGCTCTGAAACCTGTTTGGAAACATTTCATTTTGCCATAATCGATGTAATATGTCAAAAATAATACTGTTAAAGCCAGCGCTTTCCACAAATAGAGCACAAAACAGGGCCATAAAAACAAACAGCGAAGATAGCTGCTTTACTCTCAGAAAACTCTCAGGAGGAGAAACTCAATTTTATTTTATGTTCGTATGACATTTACACATTTTTTCAAACCCTATTACTAAAATTTAAGACATAAATGCAGTTTAACAAACTGGTTTGTGTAATTTTGTCAATTATTTGCCCATAAATATTGAACAAACATCATCATTAAATAGAAAAAAAAATGCTATAAAATACTTATTTTATTAATTTATTTCCTATAAATTCAGCATTTGGATGCATAAGATGTATATTTCCTTGATTTATTATTATTATTATTATATTTCTTTCCCTTAAAAACAGGATTGCACACATGTGTGACAGTTTAAATGTTTTTGGTAATTAACATTAGTTAAAATTTCTTTACTACATTTTTTGGTTATCAATTACAGATTGTCGTATGATTTTAAATTGTTACATATAGTTGAGAAATTTAAGCTAGATTTATTTAATGTGAGATAATAGTTTATCAAACATATCTAAAAGTTCTCACCAATGAATGAATGAATGAATGATATATAGTGCCAGTTATATAAATAATACTAATAATAAGTATTATTATTGTTGTTATTTTTGTCCAAAATAACCACTTAAACAATAATTACAAATCAGTACTGCACATTAAAACTGTGAATCCGGTATTGATTTAACTGGACTTTGTGAGTATGTATTTTAAATAATGTCAAATAGGTTTATTTTTCATTAATTGATGTACTTATTAAATCTGTTGTGAGATGCAGTGTACTTGCAGAGAGACTCCGCCCACTTGCTCTTCTGATTGGCTGTGTGGACAGATTCTTGTGTTGCGTTTAGTTAGAACAGGCCGTAAGCCAATCGAATCGCAGGTGAGTAGTGATGTCAGAGCGTGCCGTACCCTGGATCTTTCCTCCAGTTTGGTCATCATGACGATGTTTGAGCTCCGCTGCTCCCAGATCATCCGCCAGAAATCGCCGAAGGTCTCGGGCAGCGCGCCTTGAGTGGCGATGTAAGCGTTCTGCTTCCGGTAGCCGTCGATGTAGTTTGCGTTGATGTAATCGCTGCCTGGAATACCTGCCAACACACAGCAGAACACACTGAGAACCAGAAACTACACAACCGTTAGCTCAGAGTTGAATTTGAGTGTTTTTAGCATGATGCTAAAGTATTCTGCTAGCTCAATGCTAGGTGTGTTTTTCATGCACTGGTCCAATTTGAGATTTTGGTCTATTTTGTTTCCTTAACATGTCTTCATTCAGACTAGAGGAAAGAAAACATCCAAAATACACATTAAAGTGTTTATTTTATTGCACTTCATCTATTGGCATCAGTAGATTTTTACTTGCAATTTAAATTAAAAAAATTTGCGGGTGCGAGTAATTACATTGGTGCCGTGACCCGGATGGGAGTCTGACGCTAGACGCTGCGGTCTTTAGCCTCCTTGTTAATGCGCCCGGCGATTTCATTTAATTAGATAATGTCTCGTTTGCATATTTAACCGTAACATTTCAGAAAACCTCAAAAAACAATTGCCTTAATGGACTGTGATTAATCAGCTGGGACAGTAAGTATGGTAATTTATTAGATCACATGATCACTCTCTTGTGCCTTAAAGATGCTTTAGACGAGCGTCGCTCAAACTGACTTTCATTTAGAGACTTTCAGCACCTTTAGTTTTTGCTCATCATCCATTTGGTTATTAACAGCAAATCATTTAAAAGCATAAGATTTTGCAGACAAAGGTCTGAACACACACTCTCATTCTTTATTATTTAGTGAGATTTCTTTAAGTCGGTCCTGAATCTTCATTTCATACTGTATATATATTCTGAGATTTCTGATGAGTGAACCTTCATCCTCTGTGAAAGACACGGTGGAATAAACTGAAAGTGAAGACGTGTGAGAGATCTGGAGAACACAGAGCGAGGCCTGATTTCTGCTGTTAGACGGCTGACAGCGCGTCAATGCTGCAGGAGAGCGGCTCGCAGCTCAGCTCACACATGCAGCGGCGAGATAAAACTCATCCAGCGTTCCCTCGCCCCCGCTCACGCTCGCTCGCTCAGTCTCTACTCCAGGTGAATTATTTTACTGAGAATTAATAAATAAATTAAAAACCATGTTTTTCATTTTCTTGTTCATTCTGTGACTGACAGGATAGAAAGACAATTAATCCTGCCTTTCCTTCTCTCTGTTCTAGACAAAAGAGGCCAAAATGACACAGATATAACAAAGCAGATGTATGTGTGTGTGTTTGTGTGTGTGTGAGAGAGTGTGTGTGTGTGTGTGTGAGTCAGAGAGTGTAACCCTAACCTAACCCTAACCCTAACCCTAACCTAACCCTGAGAGTGTGAGGGTCTCCGAGGATATCATCACTGACCCCCAGACTTACGTCAGAGCAACAGCAACCCTAACCTAACCCTAACCCTAACCCTAACGCTAACCTAACCCTGAGAGTGTGAGGGTCTCCGAGGATATCATCACTGACCCCCAGACTTACGTCAGAGCAACAGCCACATTCGGTGGATATAGCCACCCGCTAACATCCGCAGGTGCCCGGCGAACTCTCATGGATCTACATCAGTATCACCAAAAACAACACTGGACTGGACTGAACCTTCAGGGAAAACTTGCATGTCTTCCCTCTGCTGATCACTCTGTTTCTCACTCATTTCTCAAGAATACTGCACTCAGTGAGGACATTGCCATTTTCACAGTAAAAGCCAGGACTTCAACAACTTAGGATGCCCAAAAAGAGGGCTAAACGGCTAGCAAAGTACTGTGCTTTGTCCTCTATCATAGGCAGCCGTCATATATGGCGGAGACGCTGTTATTTATACCCATAACAACTGAGTGATATGCTTAATATTGTGAAGACTTGTTGCACGCCATTGGTCTATGATTTTATACATGTATCTAACTGCATCTATAATATTTACGTCCTTGTAAGTTATTTCTCTTAAGTGGACTAAAATAAATTGTTAAAATGTGTGTGTGAGACTCTGTTCCAAAAACTAATGAGCCACCTACATAGAGTGTATTTCAAGACAGGATCACATGTATCCTGCACAGACAAAGCAAAAATTCATTTTCTTAATCTGTATTTTTCTTGTTGTCCAGAAAACAAACAAACAAAATGTAAAAATAAAAAAAAAACCCCATTAAAACAAGATGGACTTACTTGAGAAGCTAATTTATAAGATAAAATATTTGTCACATATGTTTCTCTTACTGCATTCAGTGTTGTTATTGCAAAGTAAAACTATTACTTCTAAAATACACACACTCACACAGACACACTCTCTCTCACTATCTCACACTCTCTCTCACACACACACACACACACACACACTCTCTCTCACTATCTCACACTCTCTCTCACACACACACACACACACACACACACACACACACACACTCTCTCTCTCACACACACACACACACACACACACACACACACACACACACACACACACACACACACACACACACACACACACACACACACACACACACACACTCTCTCTCACTATCTCACACTCTCTCTCACACACACACACACACACACACACACACACGCTGAGGACCGTTGGATTTTCTGCAGCAGTTCATCACACTATTTAATTTCTCATTGTGGAAACACAAAGCCGGACGCGGCAGATGAGCATTTATTTGTGTCATTGTTCGCTGAGTGAATCTGTTATTTAACACAGTTTGGAGGGAAATTAGATGTTTTATTTTGGGATTGTGTTTTTACATGGAGAAAACGGCTCATCAGTTCAGTATAAATGTGTAATGCTGCTGTAGATGCTGCAACAATCAGCTTCTTCATCTGTATTTTTCTCTCGTTTCCCATTAAAATTATTTTAACATCCTTAAAACAAGATGCATTTACTTGAGAAGACACATAGCATGAAAAAGACTTGTGTTATGTATTGCATAATATATTGTAGTGTATTGTGTGTATATAAATCAAATAAAAAAATAAATAAACAAACAAACAAACAAACAAATAAATACATGTTAGAATGTACACTTTACACAATATTTGGCACAAGTATCTTGTTTTAAGGATGTTTAGACATGTTTTATTGGAAACCAAGATGCTTGGAAACCTGAAGTTCACCGCGATGAACTAATGAGAAGTGGTGAGCGTACCATCGATGGCGGAGAGCAGGACTCTGGAGTGATCGTAGGCGATGACGTTTGCGTATCTGTTCTTTGGTTTGTTGACCTCCAGGTTGGAGTGCTCCCACGTGAACTGCTGACCGGGATCGACCGACTGAGGAGAAATGAGGAATATGGATTAATGAGTGCATTAGCATCAGAGCTAAACACAGACACAGCTCATCTTACAGTCGTAAGCTAACTGTTGGCTCGGACTCAACATACTCTGAGCGTCTCACGCCAATAATATCCATCAGAAATAGAAAGGCGCGTCCCGACCCGCGTGGCTATGATCAGCATTCACAGTCTGTATTAATAGAGCGGCGACTGTAACGCGTCATTGAACGAGAGCGCTCAGAAATAAACGCTGCTGCTGGGCGGAAACATGCTGCCTCAACAACTTCTGTCCTGGAAACGAGAAACGGCCAGTGGCTTTCATGCTTTCACTAAATTAATCAATTAATGCACAAATACATATACAATCAATTTATGAGCAAACTAAATAATTAAATAAAAGTTATGACGAATGTCTGACAAATTAAAAAAAATAATGCACGGATTAACAGATTAACGAATAAATATACAAATTAAATAAAAGCATGAATGGAGTAACTTATGGACAAAATAATGCACAAATGCATGAATGAATGGATTACTTTTTTTTTTTTTACAAATTAATTGAACAAATGCATGAATGAACTAATGGAAATATTAAAGAAAGAAAGAAAGAAAGAAAGAAAGAAAGAATGTCAATCAATTAATGAATAATGAAAAGATTAAATGGACTGACAAAAATAAAGGGATCATCAAGTGAATGAATGAATGAATGAAACAAATGTACAAATTAATTGAACAAATGCATGAATGAACTAATGGAAATAAAGAAAGAAAAAGAAAGAAAGAAAGAATGTTAATCAATTAATGATTAATGAAAATATTAAATGGACTGACAAAAAATAAAGGGATCATCAAGTGAATGAATGAATGAATGAATTAATGAAATCAATTATACTATTTTTATGGTTGAATTAATTAATGAAAAAATACAAATTAAATGAACAAGAAAGAAAGAAAAAGAAAGAAAGGATGAAAGAAAGAGAAAGAAAGAAAGATAATCAATTAATGAATAATGAAAAGATTAAATGGACTGACAAAAAAAATCAAGGGATCATCAGTGAATGAATGAATGAATGAATGAATGAATTAATTAATGAAAAAATACAAATTAAATGAACAAGAAAGAAAGAAAAAGAAAGAAAGGATGAAAGAAAGAGAAAGAAAGAAAGATAATCAATTAATGAATAATGAAAAGATTAAATGGACTGACAAAAAAAATCAAGGGATCATCAGTGAATGAATGAATGAATGAATGAAT